TATATAATATACATGGCTTTCACTAGACTACAAAAACATACACCATGATGATTACTTGAGTTGTTCAGGCGCAGTGCATCTGCAAACTCCACTGTATAATGTGACATGGGTGTCAGTAGCAGTAATTACCCATCATTACCACAGAAATACACATGCAAGAAACACACACACACACACACACACACACACACACACACACACACACACACACACACATGAAAACAGCCACATTTTGCCACTTCTGCAGCTGCTATGATGCAGGGAATGTGGCCTTCTGGAATTTTTACTTCCGGAAGTACGATATACTCAGGCTCAGATCCCAACAACTTGTCAATAAATCCCATAAAACAATAAAATCCAACAGCACAAACATTGTCAGTGCAGTCACAATCAAATATCTTCTTCCTCTGTGCCATAGACCTCCATTGCTGTCCAAAAACTATTAAGAAGATATGTTGTTGTAGAGACATGTTGCTTTCCTATCATGTACATGGGCACTGTAGTTTATTGCTGTAAATGCTCACAAGCTCACCAAATATGTATTAATCCACTGTTGAAAATAGTCCCCACAAAACCCTATTTACACCAGCCTGAGTAACAGTTGTAAAAAACTATAGTGCCCATCTGTTTTAGAAAATAACTGCACTTTTTTAATAAACATAATGAAATATTTGTGACCTGTTTTAAAGATTTGCTTCTTGGAGCTAACGAGCTTGAGGCTGAGAACCACATGCAGGTTGGAGACATTGGGAACTGCTGAGAGATTGATTACTGTGCTGTTGGTTCAGGTTGGTTTTGTGGGATTTGTTGACAATAACAAAAAATTGAGCATATCGCCACCCTTATCCTAACTATCTATCTTATTTATTTACGAAGACAATCTTCACAAAGGACATAACTGATAAAGCCTTTTCCTTCTTCATCATTGTCTCTCAGCATGTTGTGGCTTTCTGTTCCGAAACGATGTTCAGAAGGCTGATTCAACCTGATGAGCATTTGCTCGGGAAGTATTAGGTAGCAGGGTTGACTTCGGCAGAGGCCTGGTGGACAGGCGTTCCTCTCTCTGGAGATTTATAGTTCTCTCTTGTGAATTATAAATGAGGTAAGCTCTGGGGCAGTGGCAGCATGTTGTGGCAATATTCAATCCAGCCCACCACGCTCCATCAGCTAAAAGACATCGACGTCTTTTCTCAAAAAGAGCTGCTTGCTGCTGACAGCTGGAATAATAATGGATGTAATGTTTTGTAAGAACTGATACTAGATCTGTTACATTGTTACTGTAAGGGTGATGAGCAGAAATAATATATTTTGTTCATGATATAAACTGATGTGCCATGATGCTTTCATATGTATCATATATCATGCATGTTTGGCATGGACTTCATTTAGAGCGTAGGTTTATATTTACTCTTACACTGAATTAAAACAACAAAGATATCAGAGCTTGCATATCATGCATATTTTTGTCATCAGACTTTTTCTTTTCAGGCTAATTTTCCTCCCTGAATGATCTATAGTAATTCTATTTCACACACCGAAATTCATTCAAAGCCACAGAGAGATGAACAAATGAATAAAGCCCTCGGTGAGAAAATAATAGCATAACAAGAACATTTACTTAGTTTCTTTGTATTAGAGAAGAACAATTAGGTTCTGTATAATCCTGCGCACATAAAATATGATTTTAGAACAAGATGTAAAAATGTATCCTAATCTGTGCCAAAACCCGGCAATAAAATCCTAGTTTTACAGTTGTAAAAAGTTATTATGATCTTTTAATGTTTGGCAGGTGACTCCATGTGTTTCTATGGTATGTTGTTGTCCTATGTGTCAATATTTATAATATTTATTTACAAGAATGTACACGGTAACTGGGTGTGTATCACAGTTGTGTTCAGGTACATGCATGTTCAAATGAGTTTTTGATGTGGATAAGTGCATGAGGCTATTTATAATAATGCATTACCAAAACAGGTGCTGGAGATATAACTGTAATCTCTGTTACAGTGGGTGAAGCAGGCAGCTACTGTACAGCATGCACAACACAATGGACACACTGCCACCATCTGGCTTAGCCGACACATTCAGGGGCCTGATCGAGAGGCAGGTTTGCTGAGTTATATGGATAACTTTAAAAAACAGAACACCATCTTAAACACGGGCTGTTATCCAGACAACTCAGTATATCTGCTTCTTGCAGCGGACTTCATGCCAGCAATGACTGACAGACTGAGAGGAGAATGTCTAATTAGTTCAAACACATATTTTTGTTGGGCAATTTTTCTTCCTGCATTTATTTTGGCTGCTAAAAATGGCAGTCTCATAGCGATAAACGCGCCCTCATCCATTTTGTTGGAACATATTATGAAGCAGAGAGACACGGTTACCATGAAATATGACACATGCTTTTATTTCAACACTTACTGCAAAATGTCTTGCTCTCCAGAAACTTATAGAGAATCAGATCATAAATTCTGACTGAAAGAACCAAAAAAACGTGCACATTGGACTCACTTTATTTATGATGAAGCTTTTGTAAATTCAGTACTTCAGAGAATTATTTGAATGGTGTCACAAGGACTTCAGTCTCTTTGTTGTTTTGTCAGATCATCATTGCTATTCAGTGTCTTGTTACCTTCCTGCAGGACACACTGCCATTTGGGCTCTTGATCACTGTAAGCATAAATAAATACCTGAAATCATCTTGTTGTCTCATCTGTCTGCATTTGGGTTCATTTCCTGTTTCCCTGCATTACCAATTGTAACAAATAGACTGAATTGCAGTTGTTGGTGTTTAAACTTTCTAAATTCAAAGAGCTGCTTCAAATGGAGATTTTTGGATTGTTAAAGAGGAAATCGTACCATCATCATACTAAAAACAATACATTTATGTAATTGATGAAAAGTATCTGCCTGAAAATAATTCAATGTATAGTAATTCCAGAGGAAAACCTTTACTGCATCACAGTGATTCAGAAAAAAAACAGCAACATTATGAATGACTCAGAACATCATGTATAATTTCCAATGCACAATGCATAAAGCTCCAGGCTGGTGAATGTTAACTGGAAGCATAACAAGTAGCGCTTTTAGTCGACTAATCAGTTAGTTGACAGAGAACTAATTGGCAACTATTTTTTACAATAGATTGATTGTTAAAAGTTATTCTGTAAAAAGTAATAAAGTCATTTTTAATGCAACAAATGGCATAAAAAGCTGTTTTGCCTCTAAAATATGGAGATTTTCCAGCTTTTCTTTGTTTTATCATAAACTGAATATATTTGGGATTTGGACAAAGAAATCAAGACATTTGAAGAAATCGTCTTGGACTTTGACAAACTGGAATGGACATTTGTCACTATATTGCCTGATATTTTATAGATCAAACGATCGATTCATTTAGAAAGTAATCCGCAGATTATTCGTGGATGAAACTAATCGTTAGTTTTATCCTTAATACAAAAGAATGACCCGAAAAGATACCATTGTGCCTCAGACACACACAGTCACTGTCTCACACTGTCTGCTGCGATACAAAGCCTTCCACCCAAAGTCTCTCCAAGGCACCATGCATCACTTCCCCCTTTATCTCCAGTAGCATCACTCCAACACGTTCACATGAAAGCTGAATGATGTGACAGATTTGTTGACAGTTTGTTAGTAAGGTATGTTAGCCATTTGTAAGGAATCTGTCCTTCAGTCAAGTCAGGTGTTGTAGAGCTTGACTGAACATAACCTCTTTGTGCTTTTGCTTTGATGTTGTTAAACACAGAGCTGCTTAATGTTCTCCCATGCCTCGGTACACCCGTGCTCAATGTGCATTTTGAATTGGAGTTGATTGTTTGTGTAGGTTGCGGAAATTATGTTTTGGTAAATGTGATGGCATTGTATTATTTCTGAGTGCGGCTCATATCTACGGGTAGTTATTATTGGCAGTCGGAGCTCTCTGGGGTTAGTGCAGCAGCGTCCTTTTTGCTATTTCTGAGTGCGAATGCGGAGTCTATTTTCAAGGTTGCCATGGAAACCATTGTATTTGTGGTGGCAGCGATTGGTGCTGCCAGCTGAGCAAGACTCGGCTATTTTTGTCATGAGTCAACACCTGACACACACACACACACACACACACACACACACACACACACACTCAGGTGTACATGCCTGAATACAGATGAATACAGACAGATACACTCACACAGTGCGCAAAACCACACCACGTACTTGTTTTGTTGTTTTAGTCACATATATATATGTATATACTGTTTCAGAGGCGTTATGTGTTACACAAGCATGTTTCCCGTCTCCCCTCAGCGGTGCCAGATATCTTGATTCATCTTCACCATGACAACAGTAGTAATCACTGTCCATTAAATATCTCCACCCGACTGCATTGTGTTTTCTTCTGTTCGGGCGTCCAGGCGTGTTGGAAGTATTGACAGGAAGAGACAGATGATGTTGTTAGCTTGTAATCAGTCAGGTCTAAGAGATCATAAGTTACTATAGGCTTGCATGAAATTCAAAATAGAGGAATCTGATTACAAAAAATGGGGATGGTCGTCTACTTTTGTGATGTGTAAGAGCTTTGAGGGTAAAGGCTGTTTGGAGTCTGAAATAAAGTTAACATGGTAACCTACTAGGGCGGCAAGTTACATCATAATGTCGCTTTCATTATCGATTCATCTGCCGATTATTTTCTTGATTAATCGATCAATTAGTCAGTAACAGTGACAAAGGCCCATCACAATTTACCTGGGCTGTTCTGATGCATTGAGTTCACTGATTTGTGGGCTGAAAGCACCAAACTGTTTGATATTGGGACCTCACTTCTCACAGTGACACCAGTGGCATTATTATAATGAGGCTAATAGGGAACTACATTTTAAAACACGCTTTCCAACGGTGTCAGAGGTGCAAGACGTGCCTTCTATGAAATGCAAATGTTATGTGTGTTATCGTTAACCTTACAAATGAGAATGAAAAAACACCTAAGCAGCTCCACGGCTGCTCCTTCAGAGGAGCTAGCTTTACCCATAATAACCCTGATTTCATTGTCCTCCACTGAGCAATGAGATGGACTGTATATGAAAAAGATCACCGTGGCAACAAGAGCCCCAGTTTGAGAAGCTGGGATAGTGGAGGCCGAGGCCTGACCTAATCAATGCCTCACTGTGTCGGCAAATCTCGTACTGGAGGGCACTTAAATCCGTGAAATTACAACCCAAATCATTACTGGCTGACTTAGACAAATAAACCGAGAGAGGAGCAAGAACTAAGAGGATGAGTTATCATGAACCGTGCATATTCCTATTTTTGAGTAAAGAGGTTATGAGGTCATCTCTGAAGCATTAAAGCATCCCTCATGAAGATGTTCCACAAAACTAAACATTCATGGCTGTGCTAACAGTCCTATAGGCTGTAATGCCATGACACACCAGAACATAATGCCTTGGGTGAATGAAGAATGGAGAGACAACTTTTCCATTGAGCGGTCAGGGTTTACAGCCCTGTTCTCATCAGCATGCTAACCTGCTAATGTTTTTTATTACATGTATTGGCCTACAGTTTGCATGGAAGCATTCTAACTGTGGATGTGACATGAAGTGTGACAGACCAGCATTTAGCATGTTAGTATGATAAAGTTATAGTACAGGCCTATAGCTAAAGAAGGCAAGAATTCGGTCTTTGTTTTGAGAGGTGTCCGGCAAGTAGATATTTTGACCTGATGTTGGAATTAGAGGGATACTTATAGATTCTAATAATATTTAAGATTATATATAATAATATATTTGATAGTATTATACCTACGTTTTCATAGAGGAAATTAGGCGCTCACCAAACTCATGACAATCCGATAATTGTTGAGATATATTAACACATATATTCATATTACAGTAGTTTTTGAGAAGTGTTGGACAAACATGAATATTTCATCACTCGTACCAACCTGATCAAAAATCAGCTTACACTGCTAATAACTGCAGCGCCAACATAACAAGTTCCCCACCATCATATTCAGTTCTTAATTTCCGAAGGTACATTTTACAAAGAAAAGAGGACACTAGGACCCTGTGGAGACGGCAGCTCTGTGTCCTGTTTCCAGCTGCCTCCTGCTCCATCTCTGCAGTCACTGTGTGTGAGTGGAGGGGGAAAGCAGAGTGTGAGCTGGTGTCCCTTTGCATGCATTTACATCAGCATCGTTTCAGAAAAGCCTCTGCTGCCACAGCTCAAGTCATCCAGGGAGGAGGATGCACGGGGCAGATCAAGTGATGGGAAGAGAAACGGGCTCGTTTAGTGGGCAGTTCCTCAACAGCATTCACAAGGTGCAATGATTGATGTCCGCTGTGTACCTCAGCAGTGGGAGCTACACCAGGTTTCCATCCTCAGAGACCAAAAGCAGCAGACAGCTTGCATCGGGAAATACTCTGATTCAGGTACATGATGCTCTCTCTCTGTTTCTTCCCCTCACGCTCCCTGATTCTCACCACATTTTCTCGCTTGCTCTCACCCTCTTCTTCTTCTAATCTGCTCATTACATACTGCTGAGTGCAGCGATAACTCCAATTCAATGGTGATGTGATATATAGAATGTGGGCCTTAAACAGTGGGTGTAATGCATTAATGATTAATATATATATGAGTAGGCGGTAAGACATGACTAACCCTGGCAGGAGGGTTAAACTGAATTGGGAGTACCCCTATGTGTGATTTAGAGATGTTGCTCACTGAAGGCAATCATTCATAGGTGAGGAGGGAGGTTAGAGCTCAATTTTCAGCCTCAATCACTGCAGACAGGAGGCAGAACATCCCGGGCTTTTGTTTCATCTGTTGCAGAGAGAATTTACAGTAGTAAGCAACTGGATTTCCTTGATCTGACACTATACCATGTCTGTTTGTTGTCTGTAATAGCTAGGCATAGTTAATATGCAGGCAGTCTCTACAACCCATGAATACCCTCAAGTTTTCCAATTGAAACATTACATTCACTCATACAGGGCTTCTTTAGTGACAGATATACTATTGTAGTACATGTACAAATGTTGTGTCTTGTGTGTTTTTTGTTTTTTTTGCCATACACAATCCGTTTACACCCTGTATAGCCAACAAGAGCTAACACAGCAGGTGTAGATGTGATGTAAAAATGACACCTATTAGTTGATAGGATTGGTTTTGCATTGACAGGATGTGTGTTTGAAAAGCATTCATCACCAGCAGCTTCTCAGCTAAGGAGCAGACTGGATTTGTCTTTACATAATTAGTGTAGAGAAGGTAGGTCAAAGTTCAAGCTATCTTTTTTCTAGAGGATCATTATGATCATACATGTTTGATTTGGGCATCATGATTTGGTTGCAGATGTATTAACTATAATCTGATCACGTTGCTCAACTCTTTTGCGTGCTGATTTATAACAGTTCAAAATAATTTCACTCCTTGAGCTTTCTCAGCATGTTGCTAAAAAGGTTTGAGAACTGGCATTGGATTATACTTTAACAGAAAAAATTGCCTTAACAGAGATTTGAGAAGCTAAGGAAGATTTTCTAATCCGAGTGTATTAATCTTACCTGTAGCTGGGGCAAAAGTGAAACTCAGCACGAGCAACTGATTGGAAGGATTAGTTCATACAACCCTAAAGAGCAAATAAGGGGAATACACATGCAAACTTAGGTGAACACACATTCACAATTTATTTCCATATGTCCTTCTTGTTTGTAGGGTGGGTTGTGACTGACGGCAGACATGAAGACTTTCTAAATGGACAGCAATCACAAAATCTGAACCTCATGCAGCATCATCATCCGGACTACAAGGCAGTTTTTGACCTCATTTTCTAGCCGCTGTTTTCTGGTCGTACTCTCTGGCTTTGAAGGATGGGTGATGGACCTGTGACTGCTCCTGCCTGCCTGCTTCAATGGAGCCGACGTGGAACTCCTCCCACCCACCTCCACAGCTCATCTCCAACATGTCTGCCTCCTTTCTGCCTGAGGGCTGGGCTCTGTCCCAGTCGCTAGCCCTGCTGGCCATGCTGCTCATGGATCTGCTGGCTGTGGTGAGTAATGTGGCTGTCATGGCGGTCATTGCCAAGGCACCACAGCTCCACAAGTTTGCCTTTGTGTTCCACCTGTGCGTGGTGGACCTGCTGGCAGCCCTGGTGCTGATGCCCCTTGGCATGATCTCAAACCGAGCCTTCTTCGGGGAGGCCCTGTGCCGGAGCTACCTCTTTCTCAGTGTGTGCCTGGTTAGCGCTGCCATCCTCTCTATCTCCGTCATCAATGTTGAGCGTTATTACTACATCATACACCCAATGCGCTATGAAGTAAAAATGACTGTTGGCCTGGTAGCGTCAGTGCTGGTGGGGATATGGGTCAATGCCCTGGCTATGTCCGCTCTGCCGCTGCTCGCTTGGTTCCTGCAAGGTGGAAGAACTCCTCTTCTGGAGAGTGGTGGGGTGGGGGGAGGAGGAGGTGGGGCAGTCCCATCTCCACCTGCTCAGGGTCACAGGCGCTGCTCACTACATTGGACAGGGGGGGGCTCAAACCGCTTGGCCTTCATGGCCCTGTTTACTTTAGTGTATTTCCTGTGTCCACTACTGGTCATTCTTGTTGTGTACTGCAATATGTTCAAAGTGGCTCGGGTAGCAGCCATGCACCATGGGCCTCTGCCTACCTGGATGGACACGCCTCGACGGCAGCGGTCAGAGTCTCTCAGCAGCCGTTCCACGATGGTTACCAGCTCTGGGACTGGGACTGGGACAGGCAGAGCCACTCCGCATCGTCCCTTTGGGGGAGGGAAGGCTGCAGCAGTGTTGGCAGCAGTAGGTGGGCAATTCCTTTGTTGCTGGCTGCCCTACTTTACATTCCACCTGTATTCAGCACTGTCTGCCAGCCCTCCAGCCACACTAGCCTCTCTGGAGGAGGTGGTCACCTGGATTGGCTACTTCTGCTTCACCTCCAATCCCTTCTTCTATGGCTGTCTCAACAGACAGATCCGGGAGGAGCTGGGCAAGCATCTGCCTTGTCTGTTTCATCGAGCAGGAGTTGAGATGGAGGACAGACTGGCCAGCCGTGAAGGATCCATAGAGGAGAATTTCCTCCAGTTTCTTCAGGGCACCGGCTGCAACATGGATCCTCAAAACTCTCACAGCACCTCCAGCCCTAAAGGGGAAGCCTGCTGTCCCGTGGCTCAGTCCCAACAACCGGAGCTAGCACAGTCCATACCGATAGATTTCCGTATCCCTGGACAGATTGCAGAGGAGACTTCAGAGTTTATTGAGTCTGAGCAGGGAAAAAACAACCACATATATACAGACAATTAAGTTTTTCATGACTGAAAATAAGACTGATTTTGATCCTTCAGATGTAAACTGTTTCAGGAGTTACTTCTGTGAAAACATGTTTCTCTATTTCTATACTGAAAGCTGTCCAACAGATAGCTCATTTAATTGAAATTACTTTAAATTGTATTTTGAATCATTGCACTTTGCCTCATCATTTCATCAATTAAATGCAGTTGTTTGAGATGTATTTTAAACTGTTGTTTGTAAACAGGGAAATTACAGCTAGATTTTGAAAATGGCAAAAATGGCCTTCCACACAACCACTCAGCTCTGTACAGTAAACAACTTTTATGAATACTATTGGTGTAACTAGTTAAAGCCTTTTTTAAAGATAAAAACAACATTAGTTATGTGTTTGATGTTATGAAGGTAACTGAATTAATGTTATAAGAAAATTCCTTTTTATCTGAAAAATAGGGAACGATTGCTGAAATGAATTACATTATTGTGCGGTTAAACCTTTGGTATTCAGAAATGAAAATGAAACGGTTCCACAAATCCAACTGATACTGTATTTGTAACTGTCAAATCAATCATTTTTGAGACTCTGGTAAGTTGATTATTTTTTAATAAGAAATATTGAAGAAAACAGCAATAAAATACACAGAATTATGAGTATTTAAGGGATTCTTTGAGGGAAAAGCACTTCTGTCACTTTTGATTGGTAGCTGTGCTGTCATCAGTGATAATGTCACTCTTAACCCTTATGCCAATCTGATTATAATCGATTAGCAGATGTACATATTGTGGCCTAACACTCATGGAATTGCTACCAGTTGTTTACAGATAACCATTTTTTTTTGTTCTCCTTGTTCGAACACATCTTTTTTTAATTTGATTTCCTAAAAAGTAGATCTCGACCCAGTTTAGGATGCAGGTTGACTTGACTCATGTTATGGGTCACCCAGCTTTCTGCCATGTGATGTATTTATCACATTTTATTTGGTACAGATCTTAAAAATGTGTATTCTTTTGATGCACTGCATTACGTTAAAATGTTATTCTGTTTCTTACATTTGTTAAATGTACCAAATTGTATGTTATGTTTAGTAAAACTGTTTGAGTTGTGTGTATCACTCAGCATGCCCCTTTTTCCTTTTTTTAGTGAGTGTACATATTTGTTATGAATTTCATTGCAATGAGGCTGATGTATTTTGATAGTATGCAACCCTTTTTTGGTTTTTAGTTATGGAGATTTTTTATCTTGGAAGGAGAATACATTTAGATTTAGTTTGACTACCCTGCTTGTCAGGGTTTTTACAGTACCTCACATGCAGGAAAAATAAACATTATTTTACAGTCCTGCACAGATAAGTATGATAAATGTGGAAATGTTTGATTGAAACGACGTTCTTATGTAATGTGGATACAGGGTTTTTAAGATATTTTTTGCGTGACAATGCCAATCCAAAATCAAAAGCTAGTCGAGCTTTATATCCTCTTTTCATCACGTCTAAATATCCCAAACTGTGAATGATGTTGTATGTTTGTGTTAGGATTTTCACTTGTTCAGAGATTGTTTTTTATGCTGTGATAAAAAAATAAAAGAATGATTTCCACTGTACTGCAATGATATGAATGGGTTTTAGAAAAGTACACAGCTAAAACTTGAGTGAGAGATACTGTTGTAATAAAGAGTTTCTATGTTTGTAAAACATTTTGGATGCACTCTCATATTTTAACATTATGGGGCTGCTGCTGTCACAAATACATTTATTCCACATATTCCATTGCAAAGAGAGGAGTGGGAGGATACACTTCAATCACTCTGACCTTAAGGTAACATTTAACTTCAAAAGGCCAAAGCCAGTGATATGACCTTCATCAGAAAGTAAAGATATAACTGTCAAAAGACAGATAGATAGATAGATACAGTAGATAGATAGATGGATGGATGGATACATAGATCTATAAATAGATGGATGGATGGATAAATAGATCTATAAATATATGGATGGATGGATAAATAGATATAAATAGATGGATGGATGGATAAATATATCTATAAATATATGGATGGATGGATAAATATATCTATAAATATATGGATGGATACATATATTAATATATAGATGGATGGATGGATGGATAAATAGATCTATAAATAGATAGATTGATGGATAAATAGATCTATAAATATATGGATGGATACATATATTAATAGATAGATGGATGGATGGATAAATAGATCTATAAATAGATAGATTGATGGATAAATAGATCTATAAATATAAGGATGGATACATATATTAATAGATAAATGGATGGATGGATGGATAAATAGATCTATAAATAGATAGATTGATGGATAAATAGATCTATAAATATATGGATGGATGGATAAATAGATATAAATATATGGATGGATGGATAAATATATCTATAAATATATGGATGGATGGATAAATATATCTATAAATATATGGATGGATGGATAAATAGATCTATAACTATATGGATGGATACATCTATTAATAGATAGATGGATGGATGGATGGATAAATAGATCTATAAATAGATAGATTGATGGATAAATAGATCTATAAATATATGGATGGATAAATAGATATATAAATAGATGGCTGGATGGATAAATAGATCTATAAAGAGATGGATGGATGGATAAATAGATCTATAAATAGATGGATGGATGGATAGATAGACAGATTGATTTCTGTTGGAAGACACTGGTGTGCGACAGGCCTCACACCTTAGCGATGGACTTCAGTCTAACCGCCCCCAGCTTCACCAGAATCTGCCATCCCCATGGCAATTATTACCTAGTGACATTTCTCAGTGCTGTAGTGGGCGGGAGGAGGAGCGTGCTCTAATGGGAATCCAACAAGACATCCTTATTTGAGACTTCTTAAAATACATTCTGTTGACTAAACCGCAGCTAACTTTTTTGTTGTTATTTCTTTCACAACCTCTGGCTTGCTTGAGTATCTCAAACTGTAAACTGAAATAAGAAGGTGGAGAATCGATCTAACTATGTGGTGGCTAGAACGCCACAGGAAAGATGTAATCTGCTGCCGCTGTAAAGCTGTTCTCTCAAAATCTCATATGAGTTGTGATTGTTATTGGCCTTGTCCTGAAAGGGCAATGCTGTTGTTGAACAAACCCAAAATGTTGACTCAAGTAGTTTTTCTGTCGCTGGTTATCACAAAGAAGTGAAAGCAGATGGACGAGAGGATCGCAGCCAGATTCTGTGGCAGCAACAAACTTGGTTGCGGACATAGAGAGCTAGAAAACAACAATATGATTTCTTTGTTTCCACCACATTCCCAGGCACATTGTATTGGAGACTTGAGGAGAGATCTGACAAATAGAAAACATTGAGAGAGGAATAACATTAATGTAATGAACATTACAAACACAAAAAGGTTAAGATTATTTCCACATTTGTAACTAATACATCAATAAGGTGATTTCTAATACAGTCATCTTTGAGTTTATTTAAATGATTGTACTGTTTAACATAATGATGATGTTGGTATGCATTTTAAACACTATGCTGCTTATTTTTAAAGCTTCTTACATAAAATTAAAAATTAAAACATTGTACAGTACCAGTGAATATATCATCACCATATCCTGATCATATTGTAACATAATTTACTAAAATATTAAACATTCTATCTGTTGGTTTAAATAACGGTCAATGTTTTTAACCACGAGTGACACACATGCTTTAATGAAATTGTTGGACTTCAGTCTTGAAAGCCCCGAGTCAGCAAACACATGTGTTCCCATTCTTATTTTACTGGCAGTCTTCCAGTTTGCTTTTGCAAACTGTCTGTCTGGGTGTTGCTTCAATGGAATTCACCAAATATTGTATGAAAGGCCAATTACAGCTAATTCACTTCTTAAAAACTGGTGCATTGTGTTGAATTAACAGCTGGTCTGCAATGGCAATGTATACTTTTATTTTAGCTGAATAATTCAGTTTTTCCAATACTCTCTACATCTACTTCACTTCATTTCAGAGGGAAAATTGTACTTTTCACTCCACTATTTTTATCTCACTCGACAACATCTTATCATTATTATATACAATTCATTGTTGTGCAGTAAATTAAACTATACAATATCATACAAAGCAGCTCAAATTAGCTCCACTAACTACAACATTTAAATTATGCTTACACCTTAATTAATCAGTACTATGAACCAAATATGACAAATACTGTAGTACTTTTACTTTTGATAATACAGGGTTAAGCTTCTGTACGCTCACTTTACTTGAGACGCATTTATAAAGGGGCTTTTACTTGCAATAGTATTTTTACATTGCTACTTGAATAAAATATCTGAGTAACCTTGTTCTTCAAACACTTAGTCTGGTGACCATCAGGGTCTCCAATGACAACTCCAGTTTAATTCCCCAAGAGCTGGCACGTGTACTGGCTCTACACAATAAAAGTGATTCAAAACAGGGCTTATGAAGCAATTCTGTGTGTGTGTGTGTGTGTGTCTGAGCGCGTGCCGACTTTGGACCTCTGACACAGGACACGCGCACACAGAGCGGGCGGCTCCTTCCTTCTTTTGAGGAAATTGCATTTACGTCTAAACAAAAACTTAACGTTACCCACTCGAGCAAGGTAAAGAGTGTCTCTTTTAACTAACTATTTGCCATCTTAAATGGGTATTCTGTTAATTCATGTGCAACGCGGACAGCGAACGTTATTCACTGAAGTAACAACCGTTAACTTAACGTTACACTTGAGTAACGTTTTCGGAGGTTAAACTGGAGGTTTGAATTGTAACTTTAACTGTAAACCAGCGTATTCGTCGTGGTAACCTAAGCGAAAAGCACAATTTACCAATGAAGCTTTATAGTAGACATTGTCATTACAATCATATCTAAGAGGTAACCGAGCTGTCTACTGATAGCGTATCAGCTCGCTAGATAACGTGAACTTGTGTTGTCGTGCGTGTAACACACCGTGCTCTGTTGCTGCTGTTTTCTGCAGGACGTTTCCTGTCTCGTCTGCTTCTGCTCCCAGCTGGTCCTCAACAATGTCAGGTGGTGAGTCTGCATGCAGTGCAAATAGCATTCAAAACCAGTATGCTAATGTTACCAAGTTCATTTAAAATGAAACGAGAGACGTTTAGCCTAAAAGGTCTAAAGGTAACTGTTTACCTCCAGCAACTTAAATCTACATTAATGTACTTTATGCCACTACCCTGCAACGACTGAAGTGGCGTGTATAGTACTTGCATAGTGAAGTCATCACTTATATAGGGCAAAATAAACAGAAAATACTCAAAGAGCTATACAATATGACACCCTCTATCCTTATAGACCCTTTTATTGGATAAGGAAAAGATAGTAATTTGGGATAAATATTACTGTGTTTGTAGTAAAAGTACTTATCTTTTAAGATGTACTACATGCTTTGAAAATAACACAAATAACATGCAAAAGTATTGTTTTGGAGAATACCCTGGGTAACAGTTACATGGTCACTAGGTGGTAACATCCTAATGGTAACCATCCCATTAATATATATATTATATATATCTCCAATTCATGTTTTTAAGTGGTGACCGACCTTTATTTATAACTAAACTCTCTCAAAGATTAACATACTGTGAATACTGAATGGGAATAGTAATAGAGCAGTACAAAACTTCATCAAAATCTCATTAAGTAGAACAAATATTTGCAAATAGTTACTATCAGTCCTGTTGATTAGCAGAAGCTTTTAATAGCCATGGCTCTGTTTTGTAAAATGGCAAAACACTCCTGGGTTTGCTGTTCTCATGCATTTGGCAACATCAGCCTTTGAATGCAACGTGTACTTAATCTAATTAAACGATGCTTTGTTCAGCTGGGTTTGATGGTGTTTTACATTTTACATTTCCTATGAAATGCTATGCATAGAAAGAGACACCGTGTTTTTTGGTGTATGGTCTCTGCAAACAAAATACTGAATTCCTTGAGCTTTGCTCAGAAGGAGTGGGAAAATAAATTCCCAAAGCCGCCAGTGTTATGCACAGTGGTCTGCTTTTAGCAAAAGGGTGAGTAGACGGAAAGCCTAACCAAACAGAAGAGGCAAAGAGAAAACCAAAAGAAGGAATAACGGGAGCCATCGGGCTAACATATTGGCCTCCTGCTTCCAGGTAAGGCTTTGAGAATGTTAGTAGTTTGGTTTGAGCAAAATGTGTGACATAGTTAAGGGCATAGTCAAGATTTTAGTTTCAGACAGAAGTAGGCGACTGTTTTTTACCCTTGGCTGCTGCTGCACCAGATGGTGAGCGTCAGCGCTCTCAGGAAACTGGGTCAGATTTCAGAAAAGGGAGAGAAGACACCCAAAAAATGAGATTTCTATTCTGACAGGGGAAAGATGTTTTTGCCAATCTTATTTAACAGAAAGGTTGAGTTTTAGTTATTTGATCGTTGTACTGTATGTACAGGTCTGTTTTCAATCATCAGGACATAGTTCAAACAGGTTTTTGATTGTCTTTGTTTTTAGCATAATGCCACACTCTATTCAAGTCTAACAAAGAATAACTTGTAGATTGAGCTTTGCTTTAAGAGATCAGTGTGTGGTTTTTGCGTTTTGGGGGTTTGATCTCGGCCACATTTTGTTCACAGTCGATCAAGTTCAGTCAGATTAATGCAAAAATGCTGAGCATAATCCTGTAGTTACATCATCAATTCAGTTGTATTCTGAAGTGTTCAGGTGTAAATGGAGGACGGTGGTTGAGGACATGAATGATTGAGTGGTTGTGAGTTATCTTCACTGCGGGGACTTAATGGACTACAGCTACAGTATATCTGAAACTATCTCTATACCAAGTAGTATTCCTGTACACTGTGCTCCATACTGTCGTATACAGCGAGTTCAAATGATCACACATAGCCTACTAAATGATCAGCTGCATTGAAATAATGGAGACGCTCCTTAATGCTGTGTTTATTGTTTATGTTAGTAAAAATGTTGTCTAGAGTCTCTACTGTTTGAACAGCAGATTGTGTGCTCAGAACGGACAAACACGTCTAACTGTATTCAATTTTCATACCACTAGATGGGGATCTTTACTTTTCTTTTGTAGCTCAAAAGTCAGTGTCCTCCGGGTTCAGTAATATACAATAGATCTGATGCAGTTTTTGAATACATGTTTATTGATGACATGAAAAATCCTGAATCTGAGATGGTTCCACTGAGCTGTCTTAGTTGTTGTCGGTGTGGGAGAGTCCTAGAAAAGCTCATCACGAGTCAGAGCTCTGCTGACTTGTTGAAGATTGTGTGGTTACAACATTTAAATAGAAGTGTTTCATAAACTACAGGATCCACACGAGAGAAAGCTGTGCGTGTGGTTGCATTACTGGCCTCGCTGGGCATTGGTTGCCACTATTTATAATACATCATGTCAGGTGGGCCTTGCTGAGTGTGTTTAGCCTGACTCCCCTCAGAAGTTTCCAGAAGAGAAGATTGAGAGTTCACTAGTCAGCTTACGCACTAAACTGGTTTCTGTGCTCGTCCACTCTGAACGATCAGTATTCTCTGTTTCTTTGTCTGGATCCCTGTCTCTGTGTTGAATACTCATTCTAACTGCTACTGTTAGACGAGTGGAACACTTTTGTCCTTCACTCACCTTGGTGCTGAGCTAGCGGTGGGGGTGTTGTCGGTCTCCGTGCTCGCTGGCTGGTCATGCTAGCTGCACACTTTGATCTGCAATGCCCTCCTCTGCCTCTGCCTCTGTCTGTTTCCTGCATCGGGGCTATAGGAAGCTCATTGGCTGGTTGCTAGGGCAACCAGGGCGGATGGCCCCCAGCGAGGGCCGGCTGAGCCTCGGGCCGCCTCTCGGCTCGTCGCTGTGCGGCACGCCTGCTGACCTGCTGCTGGCTAGGAGGAGGAGGATGAGGAGGAGGAGGAGCCAGCTCTGCAGAGGAGCTTCTCCCTGCCCAGTATGGGTCCTGCTGCCCACCATGAGACAGAGCCCCAGCATCAGCGCTCCTTTCTCCCTCTGCTGGCCACTGCGCACCTCTGACTCGCTTTGCTCCGGCAGTAACAGGAGCACGGGCAGCAAGATGTCATCCTCTTCTTCCTCCACCTCTTCCTCCTCCTCCTCCAACAATGATGGACAAGCGAAGCCTAAACCTAAATCCCCGTTTCGTAAGAGGGGGAGCCTGCAGAGCACCACCAGCCCCGGTGAGTGTGGGGTGAGAGGGGTCCCGTAGAAGAATGAATGAGTTCACGGCTGTTACATGAATGTGGAGTTAAAAAAATGGCACAAATGCTAGTGCGGTGGCATTTAAGAATCCATGCTGCTCACCAGGAGCAATCAGGGAGGGTACTGAGTTTCCAGAGGCGGGGACCACTGCAACTCCAGTTTCTTGCTCAGTTTTGTTTTTATTCTGTTGTTGAGACTTTGGTTTAATGTGTTTGAAGCTTTGACTGATGTTGTATATTTAGAATTCAGCATGCTGCCTTGTGTGGAACTGTAATGCAATTCACAATCAAGAATATTTGAACTAAATGAACTAGGTCTATAACTGGGTTAATCTGCTGATAACATTGGTTTTATAATCAGTTTTTAGTTTTTATTGGTGATATATGAATCTAGAAATGCTTGGCACTTTAAAATGATCAATCAATAACTAAAATTGTTGATTCGTTTTGGCAATTGACTCATCAATTAGTCAGCAAATCTTAAAAAGAAGAATCGTCTGTAAACGAAACGATAATCTTGACCGTGCATGAACTGACACTCTGCTGTAAATACGTTAGTACAATAAATACATAAATTACTGCAATAAATACACTATGACACAGCAAAACTCAAAAACATTGTACGACCTTTAGATATATTTAGATACTTTTAGACATGCATAGATATCTGTTATGTGGATTTTCCACTTAAGTTGATATGCACCCATTATTATATTGATTATTTCGTTATAAAGTTATTATTTTTTAACATATATTTAACTTGTTTGCATGCATTGGAGGTACACTTTTTTAAAGTTGTCAGTTTGTATATTTAGAAGGAATATTTGGGTGGTTCCTGGACTGTAAATGGATACTTTGCCCTTAACGGGCCCCTTGTAGCAACACCAGTTTATTATGCGTCTGCTGGCTCCTCCTTATCTCCTCAGCTTGGGTTGCACAGAGCAGCGGGATTGTTTTATCTTTCAACTGCACCTCTCTCATGACAACAACCCCCCCCCCCCCAACTGTTTGGCCAAAACCTCATTTTTATTTGGGAGAATACACAGTGACCATGTGGAGAAAAACAAACCTCATCATATCACATTTAAGTTGTATTCCTCCATCAGCATCCCAGATGTGATAACTATAAGGAACTTTGATTCACTCTCATATTATAGATTGCTTTAGTGACAATGACTTCTGGACTTTTTAAACACAATTACAATGGAGTTGCAACACTTCATATAACAAAATATGTGAAATGCCAATTCCTTTTTTATAGTTCCTCATTACTTGACTTAGATTTATGAAAGTTAAACTGTGAAGTAGTTCAATCTCAGCTGCCGTTCTATGAATAAAGATATTTGTTGTTGACATTTTAATAGCATTTTAATGTCACCACAGGCTTGTATCTTACTGGCACATGGTGGAGTATAATTAGTTTTATGTAATTGTCTATTCACAATGGGATATGGGTCAAATGATCGTAGCTCTGAGATTACCTTTGAAGTTGATGCTAACTGATCTCTGTGGGGCGAGACTAGACCGTTAGAGCAGCAATCTATCTGAGGCAATTAAATGTTAATATTGATTTAATTTGAAGCTACCTCGTCACTGAGCCACGGCACAAATGTTGAATGTTTGCGAGACGGCGCAGCAGATCACAAGCAGTAACTCATGTTGATACACACTATACCGTATCTGCTGAGGAAGCTTGTCTTTGCTGCAGTAATAAATAACTTAGAGGTCTCTCCGTCCATGCAGTTATTTAAGTCCTCTCAATTAGCCGCTCGGCTGAACCCACTGCACTCCCAGTCTGTTATAAGAGCCTCATGTAGGCCACCCATTACAATACTTCCATCTGACCACAGCAGTCTGTTACCATTGTTGGTGCCAAATTTCTGCTGCAGAAAAATCTACTGTAGCTGCAGCTTGGGCAGTTTGTATTAAATCCATGTCATGAACTGAAGCCTTTAGTATTTTCTGTATTACTTCTTGTAGCAACCTCAGAAATATCTCCGCTCCGCGGCATCTTTCCTTTCAAGATGGACGGTTAGGTTTTTTTCCCGAATGAATTTTAATCTTCGTCTTTGAAACAGTTCTTTAATGCAATTGCTGGTGTTGGTTTGCGTGTGGAAACATTGATTACTCATCTGCAGGAATCTAGCTCTGCCTGCGGGCTGCTCTCTCCCACTGGACCTTCACTGCATCGCATGAAGCAGAATATGTAATGTCCTGGCTTTGCAGCCAAAGCTATATGACGTGAGGTAGAGGCTGTTAAAATCTGCCAGAGAGGTGGAGGGAATCCCTCTCTCCTGCATGAGTCACTGCTGCGCTTTCTGTTGTGATCTGATCTCATACAGAGGCTCTTACCTTGATCTTCACTATCTTACTGGCCTCTAACTTGACACTACCCTCTGTACCTTTCATCTGTAGGCTGTCTGGTGGTATAGCCCTCTGTTGTGGTTGATTACCAGAAATCCTGTTCCCGTCATGACATGTCTCTGTGGACTTCTCTCTTGAATTTATGTGCGTTCTCTATTTCAGGACTTTCCTAAGTCATGTGGGCTCTGTACCGTTACCCCTGAGGGGGGTAAATTATTGCACATATTAGCACATCTACACATTGTTGCCTTATAGACTTTAACCTGCACAACCTGAAACTTGTGACACTGCCCTAGGCCCTATAATCTCAGTTGAGATTGTGAGCGTTAAAGCATATTGTAGGAGTTACCTACTCCTGCTGAAAATGTGTCCGTGAGATTTCTTTCTTTACTTCTGGGAGACAAAGCAGAACCTCTGCAGTGCCACTGCACAATGTATAATTTATATGGTGAAACTGTAAACTTTAGAGCATTGAGGGAACGAGTGGATACACAGTTGTGTCTAAGAGCAATTAAAAGATACAGCAATCACTTTTGTATCACAAAAAATAAGGACTTTATTTTGGTAAACTGTGAAACGTGAGAATATTTCGAACATTTTCTGTGAACTTCTTTAATAGCACATTTAATAGGTACTGTTCTGCACTTTTCCATTTCACCACCAGAGGGAGTCTCTGAAACAAAAGTGCATTTAAAGTCAGAGGTTTTAAACAAGTGAATGGTTGTCAGTGTCTTTGGCATGAGTGAGGACCAGTTTGCTCTGTGTTTGGGTGGAAAATTCCAGGGTGGAAAATTCCAGGGCTTTCTTCTTCTATTAATAGCGTGGTTGCTTCCCATGTAACTGAAGAAGTGTGTCACTTCTGGAAAAAGGATTTTGGAGGACCAGGAATCAAGGCCTTGAAAGCTGTGTCACCAACAGGTGGGCATGTTATTGTTGTTGGGGCAAGTAGATAACCAGCAGAGCCACAAGTCATTTTAATCGTCACTACAACATACGCACACACGCACACACGCACACATCAGCAGCGAGACTCATCATGCCATTGGACACACTCACTGGGTTGATTTGCAGGCTGACAGACAGACAGTGTTTATGCAAATATGCTGCTTTGGTCTGTCTCTGCTCTCCGCATGGCTGCTAATGAAGATCCATCTTCATCTGAACCACCTCAATGATCACAGATGAACCAGCATCAGCTGATGGTTGGTCCCTGAGCGGCTATTTATTGTCCTGTGACCTCAGAGAGTCAGTGAATCACACGCCCACCTCTCCCCTGGTCACTTAATGATCTCCACTAATGCATCGTGAAAGGATGCAAACAATCATCACAGTTGTTTTAAACACGCGCTCATCACAGTTCGCTGATCATCCGTGAGTTTTGAGTCACATGTTTTTGGAGAGTGGGGTGAGATGTGGGCTTTAAATCAACAGATGATACAGATTGTCACTTCTTAAGTAGCCATTGGTTCAGTCGGGCAGTTTCTGTCCACTTTGAAATGATCAATTGTTAAACTGTTCTTTATTGTTTGATATCAAGTAGCAAATTCTGTCTGTCATTGTATTTGCATTGTTGCATTACTGTGCGTGTCAGACCACTAAAATAAGCTCTCCTAATAAAGCTTATGTCAAGAGCTGAAATGAATAATCGATTGACTGAAAATAGATCAGCAATTATTATAAAATTATAAAAGCAGTCATTTTTCATTCAGCATCTGGTTCCGGCTTCTACAATTATGAGGCTTTTCTCTGTTGTATATCAATGTAAAAGGAATATTTTTGGTTCTCAAACTGTTGGTCGGACAAAACAAGACATTTCAAGATGTCACCTTGGTTTTGACTTTGCATTTCCAGAACGATTAATCAATGAATTTGTACAGACTTTCTGTAGACTATTTAGCATTTATAACATTCTGTCATCGCAGTTTTACCAAACAAAATCAACAAATAAATCAAAACAAGAATGGTGAGTGTCCCAAAGTAGAGATATCAGTAATACATTGTGTGAATGCACATGTGAATTTCTATCTTTAAGTGCAAAGAAACAGGTCATGTGTTATCAGAAGCCTCCTCACTTAACCATCTCTGTGAAGCTACACTCTTTTAATTACCTTTTGCTTTGATCCCTGACTCACCTTTGGTCACAGGAATGGGAAATTAACCTCTCAGTGGGTTCGAGCAGTGCTAAGTAGGGTGTGCCACATGTATGCATGTGTATATGGGAGTATATGGTCAGTGTTTTTGTGTATTTGCAGTGTGATGGGGCTGCAGAGAGGATGGACTTAGGTAGAGAGATACACAGCATCAGTCTGAATGCTAAGAGGCCATGAGTATTTTGTTTGAATGTTTGTCCTGTTTTATTCCCATGGGAATTTCTGTGCAGGGTTAGAGATTAGGTTTGCTTGACAAGGGCCTTATCAATAATGCCAGCTCTTCTCTCCTCTGGGAGAAAGCGAGTCAAAAACGGTACACAGCTACTCCCCCGTGGTCCGTTGATTGGTGTCTTTGGAACAGGATGTGTGGAAACAACAGAGGTAATAGCAGCAAAGCTCAAGCTGGGGCTAAAAATGACACCAAACCACAGGCTGTTTTCAAGAAATGTGGTTTTAAGAAAGAAAGTAGATATGCACATTGTCTAGCTTTTGTCAGAAAACTTCCCAGCTTGCTCTGATTTTATTACTGTAAGCCAGCAATGTTATCAATGGCAAAACACATACTCCTCCTCTTCATCATTTACCCGAAACAAAGGATGACATTTCAATTTGTAAGCTCAGAGCAGAAAGTCAAAGATAGAAAATTGCCTCAAGCTAGTACAAGATCACAGAAATATGTTGCATGAGAAATCCCTACAAGCACTATAGCATATAATGCATTCTCCTCTTTGAGAGTACATAACTGTTCTAGGTTAGGTAGTTAGCTAGGATCTCACAGTTATTTTTAAGCTTTGCACTCTCAAAAATGTACACCTTCACCACCACCACCACCACCACCACAGGCAGGCCTGGAATGAGGACACGTTTCCTTGCTTTATCCAAGTCTTGAGCAAAGTACCTCTAGGCTTACACAATTCTTATTTATTCATGATTTGTGTGTTCTTTATGAAATATGTGAAAGTACTTGAACCAACTATCTTGCACAAATCAAGTTAATCTTTTGTATTTTATCTCAAAGATGTATCAAATGTAAATGTAAATCAGCATATTCACATTCACTAATATTGTTAAAATTTAAGATGAATGCAAAGGTGGCTGTGGCGGCGGGGCGTGTTCGGGCTGAGCTGCAGAGGGGACAGAGTGGGGGAGTGGTTCAGGGAATGGTGCCGGGAGAGGCTTAATTGGGCGCAGCTGAAACCCATCTAAAAAGTGTGTGTCTCTCTCTCTCTGACATAAAAACACTAGTAGTGATGGAGGCGAGAGAGGCGAGGCAAGAGATACAGACTGGCCGTGGGCAGAGAAGTCGGCAGACCTGGGGAGAACCCACACGGCGTGCGCTCGGAGGAAGGCAGCAGAGCGCACGATCCAGTCCAGCCTGTGTGAATAAGACTGAATAACTAAATAAAGAGTGGTTGAGAAACACTAATTGACCGTGTGCTGGCGTACTTGTGCTCCCAGGACTCACAGGGGTAGCAAGAGTTTGTTACAGTGGCAAAACATATTTTTAGCATTGTAAAACTTTTAATCACATGTTTACTCGCTGTATTAGAAACCCAGGCCCATGATTGGTGATGAGTGGGTGTTGATTGTGGTTAGTATCTGATAATTCTAGGATGTGGAGGTAAAGTTTCTTCTTCCTTTAAAATTCATATAAAATCTTAGTCAATCGTGCAAACATGCAACTTTGAAATGAGGAGGAGAGGAGATCTCACATTTAAGACACTGGTAGGCACAAAGACGTGGCCTATCGATCTCTTTGCCGGTCAAACTGGTTACTGTTGAGTTCGGAGGAAAGATGAAAAACAAACTCTCACTTATGAGTCAGACAAGTAGAACAACACTGTCATTGCCTCCGAGTCTTGTGTACTATATATTGTTGGCTGGATTTTATTTCCAGCTGGATGCTATATATGTTATTGTATGAATTTAGGATCTGTTCAGAATTCCGTACCTGGTGTTGTTTGTGTTTTGTGTGTCTTTCATGCAGATGTTTATGTCTGTGTGTCTGTGTGCCTATATTAGTTTGACCTTCATCTGGAGAATTCCTTGATGATCTTAATGTAACATAAAAAGATTTTTTTGTACACTGTGAAATACCGCAGACAGGCCTTCCTTGTGCCGTACAGACAGCAGTCATGTGAGAGGAAGGAAACACCCTCCCCTGGCATCATGTGATCGGTGCAGAAAGTAACACGGCATGCAGCATGTTGATGGGCTCACTTGCATGTACACACAATCTTATATTCACATACCTACGCTCAGTCATACTAATATTGACCTCACAAACACAAGTGATCACACTGAAGACATTGAATTCAAACATCTGATAATTGCATTCAAATGATTTAAAGCATAACACACAGTCCCGTCAAGTTCAGTTTATTTGGCTACATGCGAAATGTGACTCACTGCATGGTTGCATCATCACAGACTCAACAACAGCAAGCGGAATAAAAAGTATCTGCACGTAATAAAATGTCACAGCAATAAGCCAATTAGAACAGATACAATTAATGAGTAAGGGCAACTTATCAAGAAATCCACAAGCCAAAGATCACATTACAGTGCTACAGTGTTGGTAAATACATATGAGGCAAATACATTGTTAGAACGCAAATTAAGTGTTTTTATTACACATACTAAGAAAGTTTGAATCTATGTGTAACAAAACCGGCCATTTAAATGGACATGTAATAAGTACTGTTATACATAACATGATTTAAAGGTTTGCACTCGGGATGATTGAAGTGGTGCATCATGAATAAGAAGTGGGCGGTAGAAAAGAAGTGGAAGTGGCCAGGGATGCGTGGCCTCCTCCATTTTACAGCACAATAGAACCTAAAGTGGTTCACCCCAGTCCCTCCCCTTTTCTGCCACGTGGTACGTTCCAACTCAGTATTTAAATCCGGGAGCTTGAAGGCTGTGCTATTCATGCAATGAAAACCGGTGTAATCCAGGAAGCAGCTGGGAGGCAGAGGCAGAGAGAGGGAGAGAGAGAATCAGAGGAAAGAGGGAAGAAAAAAATGCTTCAGCAGCACATTTGAGGTGGCGACAGTTAAAAGAGGAGAAGCGGAGACAGAAAGAGTGGGGATTGTAAGATCCTGGTGTTAGAGCAGCTTGTGTTTAGGAGGTAGCGTATGCTGTCTCTCTCTCCTCTGTCTCTCTTTGCTGTCATTCTCTCTGCTCCACTGTGCCAGCTGGGGGAGGGTGCATCGGTCGTCCCAGGCCTAGTTACATGTCCCAGCATCCCGCAAGAGCTCACACAAGGCCACTGCGACCGTAACCGAGACTGTGAGAAAAGGACAAGACAGTGAGATAGAGGTACTGTAATCTGCGCGCTTAATGATGAACAGTATCATATGCTGTGATGTTAATGTTAATACTGTCTTGCTAGAAGTTACTGCAGTTCTGTGTGAGGCATGGCACTTATCACTCTGTAAATACTGCACAAGGAAGCTTATTGTGACAGATGAGGTGTCAGTAAACACAGTTGCTGTGTACTGGAATAAGCTGACCGCATGTAGAAAAGCAGTGTGAGGAAATATAGAATCGAGGAGGGGGGGGAGTTGTCTTAAAGAAAGAGAGAGAGAGAGATACATCATGCATCTGTTAGGTTGGTCGGTTGCGTTGATGCTGATACTCGGGAAGCTCGATGTGTGCCGTAGTTTATTACAGAGTGTGGCTGTTGCAGTGAGTGAACATTTGGGGCATCTAGTCCCTGCTGGTGTTTGCTACAGTGCTGCATGATGCAGTAATATTGCCCAGTGGATTAATCACTGAAATCCTTGTGAGTGTTCAGACACAAACAAAACATATACAGCATATGGAGCTGTAATAGTGGGCAATAAATCAGGCGGTTGCAGCAGTTTCAGTTGCTGATAAGGTGCCAGTGATGCTGGAAGAAAATGAGGATCTTATTCAGAACTGCATCTTCATCAACACTGTAGCACTGTAACAGACAGATACTGTAAACTGCTGGGGTCTCAAGTCCACCTGAACATGTTTGTTGATGTTTGTAAGTGTCTTTGTGAGAACAGCTGACATCTGTTTTGTGTGTTGGTGTATGTGGAAATGACGAGTCAGACCTTTCTCCTCTGAAAGGCTGTTTATGTTATAGAAAGCTGCGGAGTAGCAGTCATGGTAGATGTCTCTCACCACTGCACTGAGAATCATCTTTGATTTTCTGCATGTATTGAAATGTATTCTTGTCTCTCCATCAGTCCTTCATTAAGTGAAAAAATAGAATGAAAATAAAGTGAATTTGCAGGCAATTGTTTTTAGCTGGCAAATTTCATGAGCAATGTTGGTTCCCTTGTACTACTGATAATATATTTAAAAAACAAGACCAAAGTAAAGGTTTATTCTCATCTGTGGTTGCTAAGAAACATCTGAAGTGGTGTCATCATCACTATTCCTCTCGGGGTATAAAGTCAAATCTCTTTCAAAACACTGGAGCCACAATTGCATTAGACCAAAAAGTAAACTAAAACACATTTCTGTGGGACACTATGGCATATTTATTATGCAATCCACAGATTTGTTGCTGCTGCGTGACGTCCCTGGCTGTCCATGACTTTTACCGTAGTAACAGACAACAGGCTCCCTCGTGTTTGTATAAGTATTTAATATCACTACACATATAAGTAGATAGCCTTCATTGAGATACTTTTGCTGTTGTGTTGAAGTTTATATGGGTGAATAATATGGGAACAAACACATGTTCAGCTGTGTAACAATAAGAAGAAGGGCTGGGCAATATTTCAATATTATTTGTTAATTGATTTTCAGCAGAATTATATTATAATGACACAATATTTACGTTATTGTTCTACGACTTTCTATTGTCAAAGCTAACGATTTGGAGCTAACTGTAATTAATAAGTATGTTTTTGATGTTGACTTTTGAGACATATGAAGTCTGATGTCATGTAATGTGGAAAAGTGGAACCCAATTTAAACATCGGCTAGATTATAATTTCTGTGATTTTGAACGAATTTGCCATGTCATGATATATAGTTGTGAATATTGTGACAATGATATCAACTATATTGCCTTTCTATTCTATTCTCGCCATACTCGCCACACCTTAATCGAAGCATTGAAGATGAGTATCATAATTATTTTTGCTGTGTCGAATTTAGAAATAAGTTAACATGAAAGAAGAGGCATTGTTTGCTTATTAGCACAATAGTTCATTCCTCCCTGCTGCTATAGTCACCTTCACTTCTGGATAAAAGCACACCTGCTAAACACTTAATGCAAAAATAAAGTGACGTTTTCCTTTGAGAGTCGACTTCTCCTCACTTAAGCATATTTGTTGCATAGAAAGTAGTATTATTGTCAAAATCCGCTTACATCATATTACACAACCTAAAAGTTGTCAAATTGTGATAGACTAGTGCAGTACCCATTCGTGGGCGTGGACATTCAGAGTGGACACTGGTTCATTCAACGTTTATTAATATTGTTGCATGTCCAAATTGAACCAACTTCGGTACTGCATGTCCTTCGGTCCCCAGCAATTCATGGTCATGGAATATTTTTAAGAGCATAACTGTACACTGTTTTGGTTGACTACTGCCAAAACTAGTTTACTGCTACTTCCGTCCTGCATGATTGGGAGGATGAGACGCGCTGCAAAGATTGTATTGATCCTCAGAGAGCGGAGGCAGCTCCACAGATTCTAGATGACTGTCTCTCTGGAGCGGTTCAAAAGAACAAGTAGCGCATGTGGGCGGTGTGCAGACTCAGGTCCCAGGGATGTGAGAGAAAGCTGAGATGGAGAGTTTTGTCAATATTACTCACTGGTCCAAGAAATTATCTCACAATGACTACATGGAGATGTATTGGTTGACTCATTTCATTCTAAAATAGAAGAGACGCCCTCACAAAGTATACAGCGTGTTTGAGGTGAGGCTAGAGAGCCTGGGTTTGTTTGCCAGCCTGTCTGCCAAAATGCATTCGCATGGAATCTGGATCTGCAGTGGTTTGAAAAGGCGAGGCGTCAAAGAAATACTACCAAAAAAAGGAAACGAGGGTGTTTTTTTCCCATGTTGATCCACACTCTCCCAAATGAGATGCGCAGTTTGAATTTGTTCCAAGGACAAGCCCACGGTCAACAGCCTAAGTTTTTATTGTTGTTGGACTCCACCCTGGCATTTATCGTTATTGACCGTTTAAATCTAACTTTAGTTATATAACACTGTCAAGAAAAAAATGAACAGTACCCTTTTTCATTTAGCTGTCTAGTTACTGTTTGAACATCTGTTTTTAAATGAATGAATCATACAGGCCTTTATGACAGATAAGCATTTGATGAAGTTTCATATCATAATTGGGCCTCTGCTGTTGTTTTTATGTTTATGTTTTATGGCTCTCCTGGCTGTGTTTTTGTTTGTTTTGCATGTCAGTAGTGATTTTTGAAAGAGGTATCGCATTGCAGAGCAGAATATGAGCCAAAAAACAAAGTTTCATTCTTCTGCTTTTCTTTGTTATTGATTTTGTAGTCTGGTGAGTTTCTCCCAGTCTGTTTGTATTTACTTGTATAGATGTGTTTTGTGTTGTTTGTGCTCCCTACTACCAGTCAAGTCAGTTTTATATATATAGCCCACTTTCACAAATCACAATCAATCAAGATCATTTGTCTCTGAGAGCTTTACAAACTGTACAGCATGCGACATGCTCTATCCTTAGACCTCTACTACCATGATGTCACTGAGATAAATAGAGTTGGGGGTGCTGTGGTTATTTGTGGGTGACAGGCCGGGGGATTACATGAATACTATACTGGGGTTTACTCTGTGTGTTTGTTCATGTGAAGATATCCACACACGTCTGTGCACTGTGCATGTAGACTGATAAATTGGCCAGGCTGATATTAGTTTATCTCAGAAATATTTGTTGGCCATTATGTTGGTAGCAAGAAAGCAATTTCAGTACAGATATGACAAAGATATAACAGAGTTAATTTAGAAAGTGTTGCCAAAGTTTATATTTAAACGGTCTACTCAGTACATATTGTGGTCGCATTTCTTTAAAAAACTAATTTAGGCATCCTTTTCGAAAATGTTTATTTTTTTAAAACTATCATATCTACCTCAAAAATACAGTATTGGTTGGGCTATAATATTGCATGTTGCCCTTGAGCGTACGATTGCGAATCTTATCGTATCAAAGCTGTAACTCACATCCTGTAAAACTTCTATGTGCCACATTGAAATGTTTGACTATGTCATGCTACTATAGTATACTGTGGAGAGGTACTCTGTCCATTCCTGACTTCACGGCCTTGGAGGCAGACAGCAGATGGCAACAGCTAATTGTCCCAGGCCAGACACAGTACCGACAATGCCACCAATTATAGAGGAGAGTGAACACACCACTCCTAAAGTCACAGACTTGTTATGAGTGAGTGAGTTACTGTGTGTGCACATAACTATGGTTCTCTTTTAAACTGTGGTTCTTTGGGTTTGATGTCTTTGGTGCAGATTCTAATGGGCTAATGTGTCCATGTAGCTGAAGGAAGGAAACAATGGAAGTTCTCTTGGCCAAAGATTGCTCAATCTTGAAAACTATTGTTAGGCTGTCTTTTGTTTTGCGTCTTGTGAGATGAGTTATGTGTAACAGCAACTACTGTAGTAACTGGTGGAAGATGTAAGTGATTGAAGTGACTGATTTTCTAGTTCTACATAAAATTAATTGATAACAGCGGTAGTTTGTATTCGCTGTTTGTCCAAAGTCTATCGTTTTTAATTAAATGAATGTGAAGTTATATTGAACGAGTCTAAGCTGTAGTGTGCACATAGTCTGAGTCAACTCCCCACTCAAACCACCATGCGTTCCAATCTTTGGTAAACCAAGTGTAAATTATTGTTTATTTTTGTCTGGGACGGTACTGTCTCTATTTTACATTTTTTGTATCTGAACCTCACCGAGTTCTGTCAATTGCTTCTCACATGATGTTGGATGCAGTTGGCAAATTTGTAATTTCTGTGTATGTACGTTGAGAGCAATGTAAAAACCAGAGTCAAATTCCCTGTATGCGTACGCATACATGGCCAACAAAGCTGATTGTGACTCTGTATGCTATGAGTAATTGAACACTGTGAAGAGTCCAAGTTATATGTGTGTCTGTGTTCGGAGAGGGGTCCTGTGGATTGAAAATCCTTTTCCGTCAAAGCTTTTTCAATAACAAACATTTACATGGTAAAGTACAGGCCTTATCAATCTAACAATGACTCCTTTGCATAAGCACACATAACACATAGTATTTTGAAAGCCTGTATGTACCAGGTAAAATTGATATGGCTCTTCCCCACAGACAATATGCTTCATACAGAGGTGGAAAGTGTACTTTTGTCCACTGAAGGTACAGTGACTTTACTGACTCTTCCTTACCTAAGCATGTCGCCACGTTACTCAGCAGAAAAGAGACAACGTTGTTAAATATCATCTTTCCAACGCAACACTAAAAGGATGAGTTCAAGATGGATTGTCTGAATTGCATTGTGTGTCTCCAGATGCAGAAAATTAAACCTAGCTCTATAGTCTATACTATTCAGTAGACAGTATAATTTTTATTTTGCTGACATTTTACATAGCTAAGAAAATGTGCATAGATTACAGAGAAATGTTCTTGGATTACTGCTCGAATTATTATTTATTATTTTATTTTTTACAAATGACGAACTCTGTCTCTGTCTGCTTACAGACCTGTGTGGTGCATCTGGGCCCAAGCCCCTCAAGCCCCAGAGATCACTTCCAGGGACGCCTGTTTCTCTCACACACTACCCAATCGACCTGCGAACATCCATGGACGAAAAATACAAAGAGATTGCTGAGGTAATAATTCAAATCCACACTAACTACATGAGAGCTTTTAAGTACAGCTAAGCTAAATAATCTTAGCATCCATGCACCAGCTTTCCAGCCATTCAGATATTTGAATTAGCTGTTACTGGTATTTGTTTGTTCAATATATGCCTTGGCTTTTTATGGCTTTATTTGAAGGTAAATATAGCAGGGGGGGGGGGGTTGTGTGAGCCCCAGAGTCCTCCATATCTCCACAGGTGCATGGAAGTGGACCTGTTTTCCTGTTTTATGACACCATATAACATGTGTTTGCACAAAGGAGCTGTTCACACGCAGCATGGCAGAGAGTGAGATGCGAAGCGCACCGTATGAGTTTCCGGAGGACAGCCCCATCGAACAGCTGGAAGAGCGACGGCACCGCCTGGAGAGGCAAATCAGCCAAGACATTAAGTGAGGAAATGCAAACACACTGCACACACAAAGCCAGTTAAATAAACAATTAACATAATCTCTGACAGACAGAGCTCTCCCACTCCCCCACATTTTACACACAGTCTTGCTTTCCCCCATTGCACACATGCTTATCAGCTTCCAACATGCCAGTTTGTGGGCTAACTAACCTCAGCAATCGGCTAACAGGGCTAGCCAGCACATTGCTCCTGTTCTGGTCTTCTTCAATCTTCTTCTATGCAAAACTTTTACGAGGAGGTGGGTTCTGTCTCGGTTGCTGGGGTTGAAGCTATCTGCACCGATAAGCCGATCGTGCAACCTGCAAGCCTCTGTTTACCAATCAGGGTGTACAACTACTAACTTATGATATTATTCTGTTGGTGCCAATCCCCTGGATCACTTAATACCTTATGCTTTGTATGTATATATGTATATATGTAAGTGTATATGTGTGTGAGAGAGAGCTTGTTTGATTGTGTGTGCATATATCTGGTCTCTCTGCCTTTGTGTGCTTCATTTCTTCTCACTACCTCTGATGCCAATCTGCCCCTGCCTTGCCCACGCTATCCTGCGCCGCTGCATATCACCCCAAGGCTTGAGCCAGAGATTTTGCTCCGTGCCAAACAGGACTTCATGAAAATCGACAGTGCTGCAGACCTAGAGTGAGTGAGATCTGCTTCAGTATGTATGGTCTGTGTAGTGATTTTCTTTCAATTCATCTCTATTTGGCTTGTATTCTTAGAAATGTGCATGGCAACTACTTGCCTGAATTTTTTATTATTTATAATTACTATAAACCTATTGCTGTCTAGTCTAAAAGTATTTAGGAATTCTTGGTTGAAAGTGCTTTTCTCCAGAACCACTGACAGATTATCAGAATATTGGGATGGATCACTTCTTCCCCCTGCTGGTGACTAGATGTACGAATCCGTACCTTACTTTTTGCTTTCTACTCTCTCTAAAGACAGCAAGTCTCTCAAGTTTGAAAGTCTATACTCTGTATGTGCATTTTCTATTGATCTTGATTTGACTTCCCCTGTTTACTTGATAATTAAATGTTCTGTGAACCCTGAGAAATCTTACAGTGTGCTCGCTTGGCAGCTCTGTAGGTTAATTATTGTTTCAAAATAAACTGCACTAATGCTGCCATTGCAAATGTATACATTCTATAACATCGGATTATCTTCTCCATCATTTACTTTTCTGCTGCTGCTTATATCCACATATTCTCCATCTCTACATCTTCTCTACATCTGGTATGCTTTTGCCTACCTTTCTCTTGTTTTAAACTCTCCTTCTTACTGTCCGAATCCTTGCAGGTTATTGACGGAGTCGAGTTGGGACACTGATGATGTTGATGATGGCTTTAGGGAAAGGGCATTGCCACTGGAGAGAGAATACCAGCGGGTGTCAATATCTGGGGAGGAAAAGTGTGGGGTGAGGAGCTTTTTTCAAGTGATTTTTTTTTATGTGTTTTTATCAGCAATTAAACTTAAACTCTTGGAAGGTAATCCCATTTTCATTGCTGTGAATTGATATCTTCCCAGGTGCCATTCGTTGACCTGGTTGATGCTGCAAAGTGTGTGGTGAAGGCATTATTCATACGGGAGAAGTACATAAAGCGATCCATGCAATCCTTTTGTAAGACCACAGCTCATGCCCTGCAGGACCTCGGGATGAAGCCTCTGGATCTGACAGACTATGACGATATAGCAGAGACCCCTGTAGATGCTGGTATCTCATGCACACACACCAAACATATTCTATTGCAGTTAGAAATAGCCATGAGTGTTTTGTTGAATTTCACAGAGATGACCATTGTATCGTAAAGAATATTTGATCAGTCAATCGACAAAGAAATAATCAGGATTCAGGATTTTCTGCTTTTCTTTGTCTTGTATGATAGAAAACTGAATATCTTTGCCTTTTGGATGGCTAGTCAGACAAAATAAAGTAATTTAAATCAGGGGCAAAGTTCCAAATGCAGCATTTGCTCCTATGAACCAAACAGTTGAGTATCTTTCCAGTGGACTGTAGTCTTTCTACTCTTCACGGTTTCCCTCTTTATGAAGACAATAGTTACTTATTAGCAAAGTGTTTCAGCTCTCTGCAAGCTTGTCTCATGATATAACTAGGGCTAAGGTAACATCCCACGTTTTGTCTAAAGAGGTTTTCCAGGACCATAACTAATGGGCGTGTTCAAGCTTGAAAAAGCTTGACAGTCTTTAAGGTGAGGCAGGCAACTCATACCTGGGTATATAGTGCATTATGTATATTGACATAGTGACAGCTAGGAAATGCCAGAAAGAAAGTGAAGAACTTGCTAAGATAATCTCCCCCTTAACACCCTAAACTTGTGGGCAACACAATTAAGAAACAAGACACACTCCCTCAACAGCTGTTTTAAAATTTTCTCAAATTCAAATTTAGTTGTGATTCTTAAATGAAAACACAGTAGTCGCTCAGGACCCCTATGTAATACAAACTCCCACACTGTGTCTCATTTATCTGAGCAGTTACCAAGTCATTGTTTATATGACTGTTTTTCCCAGATGCCCCCGTTCACCCACCTGTCTCAAAGACACACCCCTATGACATGGACCCCAAGAATATGCCGGCAGACACAGGATATGGTTGCAAGATGATAAGTGGACTCGTCCACGTCTACAACAAGAAAACCAACATGGACAAGTATGTCTTTGTCCCTGACAACAAGTTAATTAGAAAAAAAAAGGTTGTGTGTTTGTGTTACTTTTATACTGTTCTCCTTTCCAGAAGCACAGAACTGGACCTGCCCTATCCTGACCTGACGGAGTATATTGAAGACATGAATGTTATGATGGCCCTCATTATCAACGGCCCAGTGTGAGTGTTTGATACAATCATTCTACAAATGTCAATGTTAAAATGGTGTGTTTATTTTAAATGAAATATCCCTGTGTTTCCTCTGTATGGTGTCAACAGGAAGTCTTTCTGCTACCGCCGCCTGCAGTACCTGAGCTCTAAGTTCCAGATGCACATCCTGCTGAATGAGATGAAGGAGCTGGCAGCGCAGAAGAAAGTTCCACATAGAGACTTCTACAACATACGAAAGGCAAGAGCCAACCACAGTCAATCTATCGCTACTATTTTGATATCATCCAGTGATTGTTGGTAGTTGACAACATTCTCAAGCTACAGAAATGTGACTTCAACTAGACAAGGACTGAACTTAAGGCTAAGATCAAAGGTCATATCTGCCTCTCACATATTCTGCTCTGCCCTAACTACAGGTGGACACACACATACATGCGTCATCCTGCATGAATCAGAAGCATCTGCTGCGATTCATCAAGAGATCCATGAAGATAAACCCAGAGGAGATCGTTCACATTGAGCGTGGCCGTGGTCAGACCCTCAAGCAGGTGTTTGAGAGCATGAACTTGACGGCCTTTGACCTGAGTGTAGACACTCTCGACATGCACGCGGTGAGACATTATTGTGTGTTCTGTTTGTGCTCCATACCATGTGATCATGGTCCTGTGCCATATAATAAAGAAAGAAAAACAGTAATGGGAGCAGCTGTATCTAACTAAAGTTATGCTAAATATTGCTGACGGACTGTGTACAAAGGAATACTGTGTAATACATTTGATAGAGATAGAAATGAGGTTTGACAGGTTGTGGTTCACTTATCAGGACCGTAACACGTTCCATCGGTTTGACAAGTTCAACGCCAAATACAACCCCATTGGAGAATCCATCCTGAGAGAGATCTTCATCAAGACTGACAACTGCATTGAAGGAAAATACTTTGCACACATAGTCAAGGTGTGAAGTAATTCATATGTAAAGTATTTATGTACCTCATTCAAACATTTTATCAATACATACACAAACTGATGCATTGATATCTCCTGTCACTATTTGTCCAGGAGGTGATGTTTGACCTGGAGGAGAGTAAGTACCAGAACTCTGAGCTACGCCTGTCCATCTACGGTCGCTCCAGGGACGAATGGGAGAAGCTGGCTCAGTGGGCCCTCAAACATCGCGTGTACTCTGATAATGTGCGCTGGCTTATCCAGGTGCCCCGTCTTTTGTAAGTACTCCATCCACTTTGCTTTTTCCTTGAAGCTGTACTGTTGTCAGGGGTGGTCAAAAATGTGGTTGTAATGAGAGCACGAACCAAAAGGAATGAATTGGTCTAATTTCTGAGGTTATGTCCTTGTATGAGAGACTAGATGCTCCTCAACTAGTGCAGACATTGTTACCTCCTCTGGCCTCTACAATTAAACCTATATTTGAAATGTATTGGTCTTCACTCACTACCTCTCCAGTGATGTTTACCGAACAAAGAAGAAGCTGGCAAATTTCCAGGAGATGTTGGAGAATATCTTCATGCCTCTGTTTGAAGTCACGATCAACCCGCGCAGTCACCCTGAGCTGCATCTCTTCCTGGAGCATGTGAGTATCACTTCACAAGAAATCCAAAGCTATCCTGATGATTCTGCCGTTTGTTTCTATCATGTTTGTTGCACGTGTGTCCACAGGTGGTGGGCTTTGACAGCGTGGACGATGAGTCTAAACCTGAGCAACACATCTTCAATCTTGACAGTCCGCTGCCAGAAAACTGGACAGAAGAAGACAACCCACCTTACTCCTACTACCTCTACTACACCTATGCCAACATGACTGTGCTCAACCACCTGCGAAGGTATGGCCCAGCTGGAATCGTTTATAACACACAAGAAACAAGAATTAAGTTTTAATGTTGTTTTTGTAAATATATTTGACTGACACAGGCAGAGAGGCTTTCGCATGTTTGTGCTGCGACCTCACTGTGGGGAGGCGGGGCCGATCCACCACCTGGTGTCAGGTTTCATGTTGTCGGAGAACATCTCCCATGGACTGCTGCTCAGAAAGGTCAGGAGAGGTCATCCTGGACTGCTTCTAAAAGACCGCTATGTTTAGTTTGACCATATTGAAATAACATTGTTCTTATAAGGGCTAGCTGTGTTCTAAAACTAATTTGGAAAGCTTGCTTAAAGATTTCATCTTTGTTGAATTTCCCCTTCTTGCAAACCTGATGGCATCAGAAAGCGTAATTAAATTATTTAAACTATTGAATTGGACTGCAATATAATTTGGGAAGCACAAAGAGATATACACAAACGATTGGGTACAGCACGGCCGTACATACTGTGCATATAGATTTAAGATTACATTTGTCTCTCATGCTCTCTCTCTATTTGATAACCATCAGGCCCCGGTGCTGCAATATCTTTACTACCTGGCTCAGATTGGCATCGCCATGTCCCCACTGAGTAACAACAGCCTGTTTCTCAGTTACCATCGCAACCCTCTGCCAGAGTACCTGTCCAGAGGCCTCATGATCTCTCTGTCCACTGATGATCCTCTTCAGTTCCACTTCACCAAGGTCAGCGTGAAGGACGTTTGTCTGACTGTACACATGCCCTCCATTTAAGGTAGACCATGTAAAACGATGGTCAGAAGTGAAGAGGCTCTGTGTGTTTTTCCGGATCCAGGAGCCTCTGATGGAGGAGTACAGCATCGCTACTCAGGTGTGGAAACTAAGTTCCTGTGACATGTGTGAGCTGGCAAGAAACAGCGTCCTAATGAGTGGGTTTTCACACAAGGTAAGCTAGTTTGTAACTCTTCTCATTTTGTGTATTTAAACAGGTGGCATACTCTCACTTTATTACAATCTAATGCAATTCAATACAACCGCTCTGCCATTAACTCATCCTATTATGAAGTTTAAAATGTTCAGTTTTTGGTTACCCCGACAGAAATGCATCAATTACATGTTTTGTTAGATGTGGTGTTCTACTAGACGACATTATAATAAGAGATGTTTCTAATTGTTGGTCCTCCCTATTTATAAACAAGACGGTGAAACCCATATGAAGGGCAGATGAGGTGGTTTGCTTCAGAAAACATAAAGAGGGAATGTCTTTCTGTGTTTTACTAGTATCTGAGCTTCCACCTCATGTAGCTTCTCTTAATTCCAGGCCAAAAGCTACTGGCTGGGCCCCAATTATTCTAAGGAGGGTCCTACGAGCAACGACATCCGTCGTACCAACGTCCCTGACATCCGCGTGGCGTACCGCAGCGAGACGCTCTCCGAGGAGCTTCAGCTCATCACTCACGCAGTGTGCACTGAAGAGCTGGACACCATCAATGAGGAGGACTCTCTGTCGATGGGCCCTCTCCCGGAACAACGCTGAAGTCGCAATATCCAGGACTTGTCCTGTGAACCCTCAACCCTGTGGTCCACCCAGCATGACACTGAAGAGGCGTGGTGTGAGAGTAATTCACCACCAACCATCACTATAGAAGTATGCCGCACACACAGCTACACAGCTCCCCAAAAGCCAAGGATACAGAGCTTTCCAGAGCACGTCAGCTTCTACATTCTTCCTTTTCTTGTGTTTGAATCATTTTTAGGTTTCAGGAAAGGACTTTAACCCCATATCATTAAAGTTCCAACTACATAGTCAGTGTTTTCCCAAACCTTTGTTTCTGCTTTTCTTCGTGGCATGTTCAGTCTCAGTCAGCGTAAGGAAGGTTAGCAGAGAAGACCACCACCAGTGATTCTTGTGAATGAAAAGCAGAGAAACACTCGCCAGAGACGCTTTAGAGCAATGTTGTCTTTATTTCTTAGTCCATGACCAGCCTGTCCTTCCAAAAGCTATCAGATGATCCCTGTGAGCGACATGTTGTATTTCACCTGACACATTACATAGCATGTAGTATCTCTTTAGGATCTGTGTACTACAGAAACACTGACAACCAGCACATTTAAACTCTCTTTGCTGCAAACCTGCTCTGAACGTTTCTTATCTTCCACTATACAGTCATGCTACTTAACTGAACCCAGTGCATCGATCATCTTTATTATACAACCGTATAGTGAAGCATTACGGATGTGGTTTTATTGAAATAATACAGGTCAGGGTTGGAAGCACAAAACAAACTTTGACAGGTTTCATGTTTTAAGCTACTTCACGGTTGCGCAAAGCTCGAAGATGTACAGTAACTGAATCAGAGAGAAGAGAATGTAGCTTCTGTCTGAATGCTGCAGTTCTGGATATCAGCCATGCATTGTGCTTAGTTTCAGATCATTTATTTGCCAAATGCACACAAAGAATCATTGTTCCGTGATTTTAATGAGCTCAGAAAGTGACAACTAAGGGAGAAAGTCCCTCGAGTCAGTACTAGAAGCAGACGTCCTGGTGGTCGACTGCAGACATTCCACGAAGCAAACAGTCGTCTTTAGCTACAAATGAATCCAGTAAATGTTGGAAATCATCTTTGTTTTATGGTGTATTTCTACCAACTTCCGATGTAGAAGATATAAAAGGTAAAAGGGGGAATGGGCATAATAGATTGGAACCACAGCACAAATAAGTTTGATGGATTCAGCATCGTCTAAGAGTAACTCTTAAAGTTACCTCACGATGTCTATGAATATATGGACCTTAGCTTTCCTCCTTTTGTCCCTGATTTCATTCATTCCTTATGGACAAACTAGAAAGTCATGGATTTGTTTCCCCCTTTGCATGCAGTGCACTGTACATATGCACTAAGCCAAAACGTCACCGTGCCTTTTCATTTTTAGCTTTGCCCAGTTCTGGTCACCTGGATTGCATAATGTTTTCCCCAGTCATGGACAGTAGGCCTCTATGCTGTTGTAATATCCACACCGACGGAACTGAAACCACCTAGCTGCATGCTCGGTGTAAAATAGCTTTTTACCATGGCCTTCGTTTGACATGAAAAATTGACTTGTTTGTAGTACTCAGCGAGTGTTTTTTTGTTTTTTGTTGCGCATGGCTGCATGAGTAATGGATGGCAGGAAATAATGAGTTGTTTACAGCGAGCTGTAATGTAAAGCATCTTGACTAATTCAGGGCTGCCTACCAGCTTTTCGAGTCAAAAGTGTGTTTGCAGTAAACAGATTTAAATTCAGCGTTGTTCACCATGTGGAAAGGAGCAAACCATGCTGGGACATGGTTAAGAATGTTGCCTGGTTCTTGTAGCATTTCTTCTGTTTTAAACCCGCCCCCAAATGTGATCAAAGCTGGGATCACATATTGTATTGAACAGCACCCCCATCTTCACGTTATCACACCGCTCTACCTGCCGCTGGACACGGTCCAACGTCCCATCAAACTGTGAGCATTCTTCTCAAACCTAGATGCTGCTGTTGAGTAATATTTGAATCTGAAAATGTCAGCCTTGTTATTTGAATAACCAGCATCAGTATCTCTACATGTTTTGCTTTATAGATGATTAGGGTGAAAGATGAGAACCTGCATTTTGTTCAGCAACAATACAGCAGCTGTGTGTTCAAGGGTTGCACCCGAGTTGTGCGCTGAACATGGTGAGATGTGCGTGTTTGTTGGATTTCATGTATAAAGTGTATTTTTTTAAGGGGGATATAGAGATAAGAAATTTTATATTCACACTATATTGATGTCAAGGTTCAGCACTTAGTGTTGTTGCCGTTGATCATTGTGAATTCACATTATGTCATGAAAATAGTTTTTTAATACGGCTTTATTGTTGTTAGTCTTTTTCATTTCTTAATCAGACACAATCTTTGAATGTCTGTCCCGTCTGTTATTATTTTACAGTCGCTTCTTCACACTTTGTTTTTTATTCCTGATCATTCTCAGTTCATTATTCATTATTGTTCAGTAGCTACATGACAGATACCCATTCCAACACCAACCTACACACGCACACACACATAAAAACTACCCCTCATTTTTATGTCACTTCAATAGAGTTAGCTTTTTCTGATTGGGGGATTTTTGGTTGCAAAGACTCATTGCAACCATTGATCTCCAATAGCATCATTCCATAGGCGGAAGCACAAAGGATAATTATGTTCAAGTATTGCAGCTTCCTTCTGTTAGTGGCCTTTCTTAGTTTGAATGTTTAGCAGCCATATCTTTCAACATTTTGTGAGGTAATTATGGGAATAAGTGTTTGATGACGACGCTTTATCACTGAGAGACGATTATAATCTGACCGAAACCTTTTCCATTCATTCATCTTTACAACTGGTTGTTTATACTGTATTTGTGTCCCCTTCATGGTTTCATATTGTCTTTTACATTTACCACGGAGCCACTTGTCTGCTCTCACAACATCGTGCAGTCTAGTCTACCTCACGAATATTAATCTCTGATAGTTGTCATGCTGGTGCTCCGTGTTGTCCTTAGCAACAGCACACCACAACTAATGATTATTTTCTAGGGCCGTCCTCGACCAAAGACATTTTTTAGTCGTCTGACAGTCATACGATTTTATCAACTAATTGATTAGTTGATTTAATTTAATCGACAGATCTGTAAACCTGAGTTCTCCACAAAGAATCAGAGAAAAGCACCACTTTGAATCTTTTGTTTACCAGAGAAGTGCTCATAAGTATCTTAAGATAATTTATTTAACATGAAAAGGCGTCGCAAAATGACTAATCAACTCAAGAAATGTTAGTCAACTAGACCAAAATGACTGATTAGTCGACGAATCAACTAAGAGGGGGCAGCCCTATTTTTTTTTTTTCCATTCATTAATTATTTTTATTGTTTTGTCTGTAAAATAGAAAACTATAAAAAATGTTAATCAAAATTCTGTGTAATGATGTATTCAAGTTTATTTCAGTTGAACAGTCCACTACTCATCATAGACAACTAAGAGAAAGCAACACATGTAATTTCACATTTGAGAAGCTTGAACCAGTACATTGGTCGTTTTTACTTATTTAATCATCACAATTGTTGCTTATTATTTTTCTGACGATCAACTGATCGATTAATCCCTGGAGATAATGGCGCATGAGAAGTGATTCACAAGAGATAAAAGGCTGAGACCATTTAAAGATACGGTTTTCTCTGAGAAGTCACAGTGATTTTGTTTTTGGATGTCAACACAAAAACCAACCAGTTATTCAAATAGGACAGATTTATTGTTCACATTGATTTCTTTCTATTTACTAGCTTCATCGTGCATTAATTACCAAACAAACTATTCTGATGCTCACACTCGAGATATTTCTCTTTGTTCAGCTGATATTTTTCTCATAAAGTATCTTTGTTTTTACATAATCTTGTCTCTTACTGACATGGATTTAGACTTTTTCCTCATTTTATGTCCATTGATCTGTAGCCATATTATTGCCTGAAATGGATTGCCAGTGTTTAGCAGATGCTTCTGATAAGGTTCAAGTGTAATGTCTGAACAATGAAATAAAGCATGTTTATTCACTAAAACGCTGTGTCCGACAACTTTTATTTACAGGTTATATTACGACCACATATATTAGGCATTTTGCTTTCCCCATTTTGTGTTACATAACTTAGGCACATTGCTAAATGTCTTACTATACACTGTAATCATAGTATTGCTGGATACATTGTCTAAATGCACTTTAACACTTCATCTAATAACTTGTCAACTGATTTTAGGACATTTTTAAATGACAACTTGACTAATATACATTTCAAAATGACATTTATATTATTTGCTACAAGGTTTCGGAGGATATTATATTGTGCCAAACAAGCTGTAAACTTAACCTCACTTTTAATTGCTTAATATTATCTGAAAGCTCACAGTATTTGGTGACATTGGTGACTTGTTTCGGACCATGATGATTTCTTATTCTCCTCTGATGTTCTCTTGTTGGTCTCTTTTTAAATGGCAACCTACAGTGTTGAAACACAAAAGAGTCAGAGGGGTTTGTTTACACCAGAGTGGAGACAAATGAAGCTGCACTGTGTGAGTCACTTACAGCCATGGCAGACTTGACCGCTTGTAACTGGAAGAAGACTCGCCCCCCTTCCTCTTGACACACGGTCTTCAGTTCCTCTCTGGTCATCCCCAGCAGCATAGAGCCGCTCAGCCCGCCCAGACAGCGAACAGTGCTGCAAGAGATAAGTAACATTGATCTGTTTATAATCACTTCTGGGGTTCATTCTAACAGGTACTACTTAACAAAAATGAAATGTGTGTTGGTTAAGTGCAGCTGTTTTAAGTTGCCACTGAAGTTAATTTGAAAAAAAAAAAAAACAGCAAAGTATTTAGTATTGCACCACAAAATTGTAATATCAACTGTAAAACTCAAAGCAGAAGAGGTCATGTTTGTCCCTAATAAGGCTCCTCAAACACTGGATCCTACATCTCCCATAATGCAACTCAATAGTGTCTTTCACTAAACCCACCTGCATCATAAATGCCTACTTATTTCTAACCACAAACCTCGAGTTTGCAATATAGGCTTTCTGTTCAAGTCAGTCATAGACTCAACCTCCAATGATGCATTTACATACAGCTATAAATATTTACGGTTGTTTAATCGAGTATACTTTTTGTGAGAGACAGCGCCTCATAGATTTGACTAGGTTTTATTTATCAAATTTAATTAATCAGTCAAATATAGCTTTATTGTAAACGTTAATTCAATACTAAATTGAATGACTGTATGTACTTACATTTTACTAAAGCCCTTGTCTTCCAGCCAGGCTTTCACTTCTGCAGGCTTGGTCTTCTTTGTGAGGACAGGAGAACCTCCAGTATGCTGAGAAAATGTAATGATAATGCAATGTGATTTTACTGTTTGAGAAGAAGTGTGACCTGAGACTGTTTTCGGGCAGTGAAGTTGCTGCTTTCCTTCACTGTCATTCCCAGGATCCCCCAGTGACTTTGGCTTCCTTTAATAGCGGGTTTAAAGTTACCTGTGGTGTGTCAGCCTCGATATGTTGCTTGTCATGAGCCTCCAGGACATTGTTGGGGACAAAGCCCTCCTCCCCTCCCCTGTTCCTCACTTTCCACCACTGCTTCGACACGTCCAGCAGCTGTGGATGGAGAAAGAAAAGACTAGCTGCAGTCTTGAAGAAATATGTGCATGTTGTTTTCTCTTTTGCCACTATGATGGAACAGAAAGAGCAGTTGTTTCATGTCCCTAACTCACCTCAACTATTTCTCCTTTTCTGACGGTGAGCTCTCTGTGGTTTCTTGAGATGAAGTCATTCATAACATGCATGCAACGCAGTTTTGACTCACGTGAGCTGAAAAACACAAAGGGCATCAAAACTGTAAAACATTCACATGATATTGAGTTATACTTTATGTGCTTGTGCGTACCGTGTCTTTCGCGAGGGGAGAAGCGGTGGTGTCCACTTGGTGGAAGTCTACACAAAAAGAGGACATGGTCTTGTTATGTTTTTCATCTTTCTCCATCTTCTCTCCAAACTAGCCGTCTATCAGCGCTGGTGTCGTACTGAATGTTTGATGTGAAGGTTTACCTGGCTGGGTGCAGGTTGTTGATGCTCCTGCCTTCTCATAGGTCCACTGGGTTCAGGTGCTGCAGTCACCTCAAGAGGCTGCCAGCCATCAGAGAACTCCAGAGTGTATGTCGGGATGTCCTCGTCGTCTTCTGGCCATCTGGTGCTGGTGATATTGTCAAAATCAAAACTGATTATCATCCTTCCACACAGCAGTCTGATATATTTGACTAGACCCTAAGTGTATAAGCAGTAGTCCATTGGCTGAAGAAGTACTCAAATACGTAAAAGTACTTAAGTAAAAGTACCAATGCAACAACGTCAGAAATATTACATGTACAAGTCTGGCATTCAAAATCCTAGTTCAGTAAACTAATAGCTTTTAAAGTAAAAGTACTCATTCCACAGACAATTAGCCCAAGCATAATTGTAGTGTAGTAGCCAGTGAACCCAATTTTAACTTCTTTATGTCCAGTTAGGTAGTTTAGTCCAGTGTTTGTCCTCCAGAGTCACAAGTTCTGCTACACAAATTAATATTAACTTTATGGATTTTTCTAAAATCTTTACTATTTGAAATGGGCCTTGCACAGTTAATTTAAATGAGAAGTTTAAAGGGGAAATTTCTCTTTAGTGGGAATGCTAACAACTCATAGACATCTGAAATGTTGACATGGGGCCCCAATTACACAAAGGAATAGGAACCACTGGTTTAGTATCTAACAATAAGTAGTAAGTTACACTCTTATTGTATGTTTTTGAATCTCTTTAACTGCCAAATGAATGTAATGCAGTGAAAAGTACATTTTCCTCAGCAATATAAAGTAGCATAAAATGGAAACACTAGAGTAAAGTACAAATACTTCTAAACTGTTCTTAAGTAAAGTACTTGTACTAAGTTTCCCCCACTGCAGATGTGGAGTGAGGTGAAGCTTAGATTTTGGTCCAACACTGTCCAGTGTCTCACCTGGGGATGTTCCAGGCGTCTCCTAGAGACTGCCACAGCTGGTCCTCCTCTGTGGAGGCTTCTTCACTCAGGAGACGGATACACTGAGGCGTCAGCAGCGGTGCAATGATGTTCTGAGGCAGCTCCTCAGCGCAGTGAGATGTCACCTGTAGAAGAAAAGTACAACTCACTTTGTTGTGCAGTAGTCATGTAATTAGGCCAAGTGCACGGCCACAGAGGGTGTCTGCACACTGGATTACAAGAAGGGTGTAGATAATACACGTTAAAGGCTGAACTAATCACACATAACATAATGCATTCTTTCAAAAAAGAAGACAAGAGAACAGGGTTTTAGGTGTATTTTTTTAAATCTTTTTAACAGGGATTATAAATTCTAAAAATCATACAATATATGTGTTAAAGTTAAATTTTAAGAGATGTAGTCACTTACGAATGCTAATGCGGAGAATAAGGAGTGAACAAATTCAGGAGCGCTGGGATTATTAATCATTCCATTGAGCTCCCCCTGTCGAGGGAAACATTTTACTGTTACATGTACTGTACACTTCAGAGTGAACAGGAGTAACATTCACTGTGATGATACTCTGCAAATTAAGGACACATACCAAAAGGTTGAAACCAAATTTGATCTTTTGGAAACACTCTTCAAATTCTGCTGCAGGGGGCATACCGTCCATGGCTAAAGAACCAAAATAAATACATAATGAAGACTCACAACTGATGGATTTTTTTTTTATAGAATTCACATTTTAAAACAGAATATTCCTTTACAAATTATCTTCCTTTATTTCCTGCATTAAGTTACCTTTTCCTTTTTTCTTTTTATTCTTTTTCTTTGTATTTTTAGCTGCTATTGCAGCTACTTTTCCCATGAAGACTTCGATGTCACTTAAAACATGATTCAAGATATCCTGTAAAGAACGAAAGAAGAAGAAAGTCATTTACACATTCCTTTTCTTGTAAATGTTACTAAAATGTACTAATGACCAACTATGTCACAGGTTATACACTCACTGCATTCCTGTCCAGGTCTGTGTATGGGCGTGGGGTAGACAGAGGTTCTTCTTCGTTGGTTGAGTGCTGCGGGGATGGCACCTCCTCTCTGGGAGCGGGGGCCTCCTCCTCCTCCTCCTCCTCCTCCTCCTCCTCCTTCTGAGGCACAAACGGTTCACGCTCAGGGACGTCATCATCTTCTGTATGGACAAAGAAGAAGGAAGGTTTGTGTTGATTTTGACGATATCATTAATAATCATATCAACAGTTATATATCTCCTGTCACTGACTCACCATAGTCAGGAGCCATCCATGGGGGCATCTGCTCTTCAGGTTCATTATACTTTGCAGCGTTAGGAAGGTGTTTCATTCCCTGACGTCCTGCCAGTAGTCCTGCATTCCTGCTTCAAAAAGTGTGAGAGGCATTGTGAGGAATAAAATGAAAGAATCAACTTTCAGGTATTTGTTCTCACTGACTTTAAGTTCTTACCCGATGCTTGAATCATGACTCCCGCGCGACAAAGCTCCTGAGAGATCCCTTTGAACATAGTCAGCCTGTGAACAACAACAACAAAAACAAACATTAACTCACTCATTTACTTAATTTAACAGTCACAGTTAGATTGATTTCTATGGGTTTGTCCTCACCCTGACATCCTCACACTGAAACATGAAGACAGTGGTGTTGTGTTTTCTCCCGAGCCGGACCGACACTGTGAGCAGGGATTTAAACACTCCAGCGTCAAGCACAGCCTGCAGCTCCAGGATGTCGTCGAAAGCCATGGACTCCAGCGTCTCCTGAGAAAACAGAACACATTGATACACATAAAACCATGTCGTAGACCTCTGCACATACTGTACATTTATATTAAAGAAGAAACCAGCATAAAGTATATTCAAGTTCAAATGTATTGTTGAAGTTCAGTATTCAATTGAGTTGAGATCTGTTGACTGTGAAGGCAATAACATAACGTGACGTGATGTAACATAACATAATCTTTGGTCATGCTCGTCTAACTATTCAGTGATCCTTTATTCCCTGGGTGGAGTCATTGTCATCCTGGAAGAGACGATCAGATTAGAATTTCAGACTTGTCACCTGTCTGTAGGCCTCACATGCTGCTTACCTTGGTTTCAATGTCTGTGAGCAGCAGGTTGGCGCCTCGTACCTCCAGCAGCATGTTCTGACCCCACACACGACCCATCCCGTCCAGCACTTTCAGCCGCTCCACACAGTCTTCTATGCTTCTCAAGCCCTTCCCATCCAGGCCACAAGTGAACAAGTGCTGCAGCAGCAGAGAGACATTAAAACACAACATTAAGCATGGCATGATTCAGAAATGGTCATATTCGTATGGATAATGTTATACCTCCACTCTGTATTGAAATTTGTTCATCATCTTGTTTACTGATACTGCATACTCCATCCTTTGCACTGTTAATCATAAACGAGAGCTCAGTGTTAGTCATGAAAATGAACAGAACATCCACAGGTGTAACCACTGAATATGTTGAGTACAGGGGTGTTAACTTACAGTAAATTGACTTTGCACTGGGCCTCGACAGACTTGACACCTGTGATGACACCTCATCAATAGAGAAGCCACTGTCACAACAAATGCAAGCAAGTTACAACATTGATCATCTGCGATGAATAAAGTAATGAATGAAACAATCAATTGATACATCAACAACGTAAAATTGTGAAAGCCATACTTGGACTGGATTGATCCTGTCCAGCTGCTGGTGTCGTTGCCAAAGGGACTGTTACTTCTGAACATGTTCAGCACTGAACTAACACACCTGCCCTATCATACATGATATGAGTTATACACACCATAAATCTGTAATGTCAGTGGTATGAGCTGTGTCAGCAACCTACATCGGAAATAAATCTATAACTCGTTTATTTTGGGAAGTTTGTCGGCCATCAGTGTTTATTCAAAGCAAACAGAAGCTTAAAAAACTCAACTTTTGTTGAGTTTTAATTGAAAAAAACACAACTTTTACGACTGTCAAAAGCAAAATGAGCCTTTGCTCAAACAACACCTTCATTATTAGCAATAAATAAAAAAACAGATGTTGATAGTCATCAACTAGTTACAGTCACCTAGCAACACAGCTCTGTGACCCACCTAACGACGACATCTTTATGGTGCTGTTGGAAGATTCCAAGGGTTTTGTATATTTTAAAGACTGTCTGTGTCTAACACAAGTGAAGATAGAAATAGTTAACAGTATATAAAAACAAAAAGGTAAATTATCTCTTTCAATACAATAAAACACATTTGTCAAACACAGAAGCTGAATGAATGGTTAAGTTCATTCTACGGTAAGTCAGAAAAGTACAAAAATATTTTTTTTATAATTAAATCTGTTTTCAAAATCCTATGTAATAAAAGGTCCTTTAGACCGAAAGCTAAAAAATAAAGTGTTCATCTTAATGTTCTCTGCATTTAAGTGTGCGGATATCCGTTCTACCAGTTTGAGCTTTTTTGATACTTCCAGCACCTTATTTAAGATAAAGCCGGGTGAAGCGGTGGTTATCCTGCATTCACTATAAGGAATAAAAGGAAGATCGTGGTGATGTCGAGTTCGTTTGAATTGTGTTAAATGAAATGCGAACACGTAACAAGCATCAAGTACAGATCACATACACATATAACAAAGACATATCCAGTTTATGGTGGAGATTCAAAGTCAAAAGCTCTTACCTTTGATATCCGGTAGATGAATACTGTTGTATTATTTAGAAGAAATACAAATCATAGTTTAACCCTGTACTTCAGTCAACGACAAACACCCAAGACTTCCTCATAAAGGAGAAGGACAAAGTCCACTGTCAGTAGCAAAGTGATCTGTGGGATTCCGAGTTCACTCAGATAAGGGTGTGAGACCTTTAGTGTGGCATCCCGTCTGAGCAAAGGTTAACAGATATGGAGGAAATCATCCTGGAAAAGCTTAAAGGTCTCCAGCTCTATAAATAGATTTTGGGGCCCATCAGCATTTTGTTATTTTTCCATCTTACAATGTTGTGTGATTACAAGTATTGAGCTATAATGCTCCAACTCCTCCTCTGATTCTTGTTCCTCATTAAAAACACACAATGCGTGCATCATATCATAGATAACTGCCTTCAACTCGTCAGGTTCACGCTACAGTGAATTAAAATACCTACAGAGAAAGAAGAGAAAAAGTGCAATGCAGTATTTATATTTACTCTTACTCACTTCTATACCGAACGTGTCATATCTTTGTAACTCTACCATTTTATTGTACTTTAGTTATATAAATGTAAAGGAAAATCTACTGAAGTCAGGTTTATTTAGATGCAAAATCCAGTTTTAAATACTTCCATGTGTCTTCCCAAATAACCACTTCTTCATATATTGTAAATGTGAGGGCATTACCAAAGAAAGAGCAGTTAGGAAATGTAGGCGGTTTAGGAACAGTGTTGTCAAGTTGTAGCACTTCACATGTCAGTACTGTGTCCATCCACCTGGCAGACTGGCTCCACAATAAAACCCTAATCTCATGATTTGTAATGTCACACAGACAAACATTAACCAGAACACTTTCCTTGATGTAATGAACCCAGTAAACAACA